CCTCAAAGTTTTTGATCAAATTCCAAATTTTCTCTCAAACCGTATCCTTTTTTTTTTACTATAGATAGTTAACCTAATTAATCACGATTTTCTAATTTTATGTATCTACTAAACATCCTTAAGATAATATTAACATTTACGTAAGTGAGCAGAAAAAGTAAAGAATATTTTAATATTTAATATTGCAAAAGCTTTCGATTTGGTCAAAACAATACGCAGGGACTTTTGCATAACTTGATTAAAAAGGCGCCAAAAAAAAAATAAAAAAGCAAAGTTTGCCAAACAAATATATCGTTTATTATTATTATTTTTTTTCCTAAGGTTGTTGCATGTAAGGGTACAGAATATCCTTTTGGGGAATATACGTTTCTTTAATTACTTGCGGATTCGATAATCTTATGGGATAATAAGGACCGCCAGGTTTATCGTTGGTACCTTAAAAAAAGGTCAATTTTTCCGATATCTACAATATTTAATATTTTCGAACAAGTACTACCTGACAATCTCGCACCACCAAACGGCTGTTGCCCAACCACGCTCCCTGTAGACTTATCATTAATATAAAAATTCCCCGCAGCCATTTTAAACATTTCGAGAGCGCATTTCAAAAATTTCCTTAAACAAATTAAATATTTAATCTATTTTGTACCAAGGAAACAGTCGAAATGAACTTACTCGTCCTTGGCAAAAACTGCGCCTGTAAGAGCAAAATTGGTGCTGCATCCCACCAATTCCATAGTTTTCTGAATGTCCCTATCAAGGTAGACGAAAACCGTTAAAACGGGACCGAAGATTTCTTCTTTCATTAATTTGTCGTGTGGATTTCTTGTGAGGATTATTGTAGGTTCAATGAAATATCCTATACTAAGAAATAAGGCATTAAACAATGGCAACAGGTGCTGATGGGAACCGAACATTTCCGAGAACAAAATTAAGACACTAAATTGCGACTCTTGCACTAAATGTTACATTGGACAAACAGGAAGACATTTTAATACCAGAACAAATGAACATTTCCAATTTTATTGTAAACTCACTCAACTCATTCGTGTTAAAATGAAATAAAATTTGATTCCTGTCGTTTAAAATACTAAATAAATAATAATTATACCTATCATCACATTTCCCTCCAGCTATTACTTGCAGTCCACTGTTATTTTTAGCATACATTATATAATCCTTTATCTTCTTAAATGACAAGTTGTCGATTACCGCACCAGTAAATGTATCATATTTGGTAGGATCGTCAACTATTAATGAGGTCACCTTTTCTTTCAGACCACATTCAATCTGTTTAAAATGAAAGCAGAAATTTAATATGAGGCCATCATTTACGTATTTCGAAAAGTTATACATAGTGTTTATTAAACGTACGGCAAGACTTGAAGAAATGTTTTTGGACAAAACCAATTTTGAAATTCTTAAAATTGTTAATGTTGGTATCTGAAATTAAAATATACTGGGTTTATCAATCATCATCGTCATAAGGTCGTCAGTCCTAAGACTGGTTGGACACGCATCTCTACTCTTTCCTATCCTGCGCTAATCTTTGATGACACCCCCCGAGGTAGTCCCCGCCCGGATATCCGAATGGGGGATTAGTTTACGTCCGGAGTGCTTTACCCCAGAGGACGCCTTCATTTAATTGTGTGACACGTTCTTCTCGGGATCATAATGTGGTAGTTTCCCGTTGCCTTCCACATCGCAGTATTGTGCATCAGAGTGCCATACCGATCCTCGTGATCTCTGCAGCCCTGACTACCCTTTTCAAGGGACTTGTCTTAGTCTGATTTCTCTTTAAGAACCCCTCCATTATGGTTGAACCTATGGTTCAACTCCCTAAATCATCAAAACTCGCAAGCCGATCCAGTTTGTACAAGAGTTTCGTCAAGGTTCAAGTCCCGTCGGATCAGGGGTTTATCCAGTAGGAAAAATATTCAAAATGCATTAATCTTTTTACTAACAAATCCGTATACTAATATTACGGAGAGAATTGCAGTGTGGTTTATTCACAATTTTGTACCAGCGATTTATGGTCTATTTGCTAGTGACTTCTTAACAGAAACATTTGCTTGAGGCGGACTCACTTATGGCTTCAAAACCTTTGGGAGTTTAATTGCCACCAGCTACTAATGCTGGTGGGCGGAAGGCCCTTTCGGGCTAAGCCGGAGGGTAGAGCGGAAGACGTTCTTCAGCTTCTCTTGAAGATGAAATGCATGAAATTAAAGCATTGTCTGGGAAATAATTATTACCACCAGATTTGCCTAAGTGACCAAGGAAACCACAGAAAAACTAGGGGTAGAGCAGACGCACCCGGAATCGAACCCCTGTCCTCCGAATGATGTAAACCTCTGGGCCATACCGTTCGGTATTTATGATTTGCTTGCTAAACCCCTTAGACTATTATTTGTGGGGCCATTTAGGGTTCATTAGTTCGCACTACTTCAGTGAAAAAATGTTTGACAATTCAGACAATTGTAGAGTGGAATTCAATAATGTAGAGAGCACGAGTGTGTTTGTGTGCGATAGGGCGCACGTGTGCGTGAACGGCTTATCGATTCGCCGACTAGCCTCGGGCGCCTTTCTTCATGTGTGTGTCGTACCTGCGTTCTGAGAAAGCAGTTAAACGGTTCAAAGAAAAAAATAAACTATCCGGATGTTTCTAGAAGGTTCCCGAAAGTAAACGAAAGAGTATTTAAAGGAAGAGACGATCGCCGAGAGGAGTAGAAATAAATTGACCGTTGCAGAAGTGAGGAACGAAGCAGGTCGGTAATCAATTAGGAGAATTAATTGAGATAAACCCTTCAAGTTTGCCGTTTAATAAACACCCCGTAGACAATGATATTACCTTCGGCCATAGGCTATGTGGCACGTACATTCTAGAACAAGCGCTACACTTTTGCCCGCTATATTCAAAGGCACTTCTGATTGTAAAATTAACCACTGATTCTATGTCGGTTTCAGAAGGATGGACGAAATGAAAGTTTTTACCGCCACATTCTCCGATCATTTTCGGATAGTTGATGTAACTTTCAATATTTTTTCCTACTTCCACCCACAACCAATTGAACGTTCTAACAACGAAAGACGTTTGAATTAAATTAAAATAACTTTGAGGGGGACGTCGTTGAGCCTACTTCGGACTCCCTGTAAAGTTAATTCCAGCCAAATATGGGGACGTAGTTATGGCGCGACCAAAATCAACTGGTTCGGAGGGGATAAAATTTACCACCCCAGCAGGCACCCCAGCTTCCCGACATATTTTAAATACGTGCCAATTTGATAATACGGCAGTACCACTGGGTTTCCATAGAACTGCATTGCCCTAGAAAGATGCGACTATAAATGAGTGGTGGGGATTCCCCGTTTTGTTCCCGACACCCAATTTCAGAAGTAACAACAACAACAACTTACGACAAGAGCCGGAGTGTAAGCCAAATTTCCACCGATTGCAGTGAAATTGAACGGCGTTATCGCTGCCATAAATCCATCAATACCCCTAAATCTCATAAAATTTCTCCACTGGGCTGGCTGGGGTGATAACGGCTTATTTAACGTTGCCTGACTCAAATAATAAACGTTGAACCTTGAATAAATGAATATTTAATAATTAACAACATCTGTGTTCTATTGAAACTGTCCGCGAAGTGCTGATGTGAACCATTAAGATCAAAATCATGATCCGCGTTTGACAGTTTCGACAGAACACTAAACAATAAAAGCCTAAGGTTATGAATGAATAGCGTCCCGTTTACCGAAAGAAATCAATCAATTCCGCCGCCGAATCAATTTCGGCTTGAATAACCGTTTTCGACTGACCCAACATAGTTGCCGCATTTAGTATTTGCCTGTAATCGAAAGCCATTAAATCAGCAGCTCTATTCCAAATAGCAGCCCTGCAAAAGCCACCCCAAAACAATCCATTAAATACTAACTGTATCAAAATCAGTAAAAATTCCGAAGAACTAAAAGATCTTGCCTTTGGTTCAAGGGTACAAATTCCCAACACCTCTGGGTCTCGGTGGCCACCTTTATGGCCAGATTAATTAAATCAGGGGTAGCTTTGTATACCTTGGCCAGTTTATGGTGATGGTCGTGGGGCATTACCTGGTAGGAGAGTGCAATTTATTTTTTATTATTTCGAATCAGTCGTAAGTAAGACAAAAATGAGTGGAATATTAATTTATTAAAAGCGTGTTTTGAGTACGGCTTTTGATGGGTGCGGAATGTAGACTGTGGAAAGTTGGAAGCGTTTTGATGTCATAGATGCATGATAGAAATGGCGTGGATATAGAAATGAGGACGTAATAGAAAAAGTAAGATGGAAATCAATATTGTAGAGTCCTTACCTGATAAAAGTAGTCTCCAGTTCTGTACTCATTATCTCCTATAACTACAGGAATTTCGTCAGTACAACTTCTTAAATGTTTTATAGCGGCCTCCAGTTGCTCCCGTTCTTTTGAATTTTTCATATAACCCAAAATAGGTTCGTTTTGGGGCATTTCAGAGCAAAATGTATAATCTGGTACCACTGACGTTGCATATCGAACCCCCACCCTAAATTAACAAAACAAACCGTAAAAGTCACTCAATTTACTGCAAACGAAGCACTCTAAGGATAATAAACCTACCTTTGTAAGTTAAAAACACATCTGCACCTTAACAACATTGCAATTAGTTTCGAATTAAAATTAAACAATAAATTACTTTTGTATATATAATTATTGTCAGTGTCAAATGTATTAATTACATCGACAAACATGACAGTTTTGCTTAATCTTGTCAGTTTTTTTTTAATTTTTTATTTGTTTAGAGCAATGATCCTTAAACATTTCTATTTCATAGACCATGTGATAATTCACCCTTCCCCTTCCCCCCTAACCCTTGCAACATTGACCTGTTACTAATTCATTAAATTGAAATGTACTTTTGACAGTTGAACTGTAGAGATAAAAAAAAACACAACATTCCCATGATTAAAACATAAAGGCAGAGCTCCTCAAATCGAGATCCAAATTTTTATCATGTTTCATTAACGTTTATTTTTGAAAAATGTTTACTTCTTACTTCATACGTAATTTCTATATCCTTTATAAGAAAGAATTATACGTATGAAACTCCATGTTATGCAAATTATTTAAAAATCTATCCGAAGCTATTGGATATCCGAAATAAAAATTTATCCGAAAACATAACTAAATCTAATATATGTTAAAAAGGTTTCAAAAAATTTAGAATAGGTGAGCTAGATTTTAAATAAAACTTCTGTCGCTAAGCCTTTTTGTGGGATTACTTTTAAAATTAATAGAATATCTTTAACTGAAAGTATCCGAAACTAACGGATATCCGAAATTAAAATCTAGCCGGAACCGTAGCTAAAACTTTTTGTGGGATTACTTTTAAAATTAATAGAATATCTGTAACTGAAAGTATCCGAAACTAACGGATATCCGAAATTAAAATCTAGCCGGAACCGTAGCTAAAACTTTTTGTCGGATTACTTTTAAAATTAATAGAATATCTGTAACTGAAAGTATCCGAAAGTATCGGATATCCGAAATAAAAATCTAGTCGGAACCGTAGCTACAACTTTTTGTGGGATTAGTTTTAAAATTAATAGAACATCTGTAACTGAAAGTATCCGAAAGTATCGGATATCCGAAATAAAAATCTAGCCGGAACCGTAGCTAAAACTTTTTGTGGGATTAGTTTTAAAATTAATAGAACATCTGTAACTGAAAGTATCCGAAACAACATTCCTGGTTTATAGGGTTTTGAAATAGGAATGAGAAAAAATGGTAGATGAGGAAAATTAAAAAACCAGTTGCCATCAATAGTTTAATAACATAAGTGCTTGTAAAACAATGCACGCTTCATTTCAAGTTAATTTTCTTAACAGTCTAATTGAGAAAGGCACACAATATCTCAAAATATTTTTTTTGGTTTTTGTTTTTAACTCCAACGTGAAAATCTAAAAGTGCAAAGTAGTTTTTACATTTTCGGTATGAAACACTTGACCATCATATTTTTGTTAATTCAACACGTTTAAAAATTAGAATTTATTCCAAGATGCAATTTACAACTAATTAATCAATCGAATAAGTTTTTAGTTAGTTGTAAACTGAACCTTTTTAACAGACATTTATATAATCTATTTTTGTATGCTTTTATATGTATACGGTAACAAACACCCAAGGCCTCAAATTGTAATACTGTAAGCACGTAAAATATGCATGTACATGTAGGGTACATTATCAAACATGGACATTTGCAAAATCTGAAAATTTCAAAAAATTTTCCCAAACACATTTATAGCAAACATTCAAATTTTACACGTTTTCAATATGTGCAGTGAAAATATCACACCATGCAGTTGTTTTTTCTTTTTGATTTTCATTTGTTTTCACTTTTAATTTAAACTGGATAAATACCAGGCTTGTTTTCTGTGGTCCCATTCACTAATTTACGAGTTGCTGAACGATTTAGTTATAAAATGGGTCCATTAAATAATCATTGGTGTAAATACAATAGCAAATATCAACCTTACTGATACTTATGACATCAATAACGAAATAGAATCGTTTTGTTTTTAAATAAGAATTTCAATTTAATGGTCACCCTGTATATGTGACATTTTTAAATGAATTCCTGACTAGACAATTACGAAAAGAAAACAAGAAATAAAGTATTTTACAATTACTCTCTTTGGCGTTGTATTTTTAACTAAAAATGAAACGTAATGCAACAAACAAAAAAAAAATAATAAACGTAAAAACGTTAAAATTATTATTAAAAACCGGAACAGAGTTGCGTTACGANAATTCCTGACTAGACAATTACGAAAAGAAAACAAGAAATAAAGTATTTTACAATTACTCTCTTTGGCGTTGTATTTTTAACTAAAAATGAAACGTAATGCAACAAACAAAAAAAAAATAATAAACGTAAAAACGTTAAAATTATTATTAAAAACCGGAACAGAGTTGCGTTACGATTAATTAGATTTGTGAAGAATAGGAATCTACGCAAAAGTGAGCAAACTGCGGTGCAACAAAACGCTTCTTACTTATGTGAATGACAAATTAATCAACAAATTCTTTACACAAAAAACCATTGGAAGCAAGAAAAATAAAATAAATACTAATGACCCAAACTAAGATTAGTTTCGAATTAAAATTAAACAATAAATTACTTTTGTATATATAATTATTGTCAGTGTCAAATGTATTAATTACATCGACAAACATGACAGTTTTGCTTAATCTTGTCAGTTTTTTTTTAATTTTTTATTTGTTTAGAGCAATGATCCTTAAACATTTCTATTTCATAGACCATGTGATAATTCACCCTTCCCCTTCCCCCCTAACCCTTGCAACATTGACCTGTTACTAATTCATTAAATTGAAATGTACTTTTGACAGTTGAACTGTAGAGACTACTTCAGTGAAAAAATGTTTGACAATTCAGACAATTGTAGAGTGGAATTCAATAATGTAGAGAGCACGAGTGTGTTTGTGTGCGATAGGGCGCACGTGTGCGTGAACGGCTTATCGATTCGCCGACTAGCCTCGGGCGCCTTTCTTCATGTGTGTGTCGTACCTGCGTTCTGAGAAAGCAGTTAAACGGTTCAAAGAAAAAAATAAACTATCCGGATGTTTCTAGAAGGTTCCCGAAAGTAAACGAAAGAGTATTTAAAGGAAGAGACGATCGCCGAGAGGAGTAGAAATAAATTGACCGTTGCAGAAGTGAGGAACGAAGCAGGTCGGTAATCAATTAGGAGAATTAATTGAGATAAACCCTTCAAGTTTGCCGTTTAATAAACACCCCGTAGACAATGATATTACCTTCGGCCATAGGCTATGTGGCACGTACATTCTAGAACAAGCGCTACACTTTTGCCCGCTATATTCAAAGGCACTTCTGATTGTAAAATTAACCACTGATTCTATGTCGGTTTCAGAAGGATGGACGAAATGAAAGTTTTTACCGCCACATTCTCCGATCATTTTCGGATAGTTGATGTAACTTTCAATATTTTTTCCTACTTCCACCCACAACCAATTGAACGTTCTAACAACGAAAGACGTTTGAATTAAATTAAAATAACTTTGAGGGGGACGTCGTTGAGCCTACTTCGGACTCCCTGTAAAGTTAATTCCAGCCAAATATGGGGACGTAGTTATGGCGCGACCAAAATCAACTGGTTCGGAGGGGATAAAATTTACCACCCCNAATTTTTTTATTGAATTTTATTTGAATTATAGTGTATGAAAATTGTCAAAATAATCAACTTTCAACCCCCATAACTTTTTATGGGGGTGAGACCGCCGCAAATTTTTTATGGGGTTTTACTCAGGTGACTACCCTCTTTCAATCCCCCTACCCCCCATCTAACCCCCATAACTGTTTATGGAGGTGAGACCGCCACGAACTGTTTATAGTACAGTGGTGGGGGAGACCTCCTCTTTAGATCCCCCACCCCACCCCCTTCGGGGGCCATCATCTATATTTACCAAAAAAAAACCCATAGAAAATGCTTTGATAACAATTTCAAAATGGTTTATTAGTCTTGTTTTGTTACTCTTTTGGTTTCGAGACTTTAAAAGACGTGTATGTAATAATACGCAGTCAGATCACACCATATGTGCTTGTTCTTGCAATAATCCTGAAGAAAACAAAAACCCTGTAATTTCACAAATATTAGGTAGGTACATAGATATATGTACGTAATAAAAACCTGAAACAAAATGTTCAAGAATAGTTTTTAGCCAGTTGGTCCAGCGAATCCGATCTTTCCAACCAAACGACCGGTTGCAGACTCGAGTTGCTGACGCTTCTCTTAAAGACCAGCTTTAAAGCACGTTGAGAGTCACTTTGATGGACCGAATAGTCGTTCGTCTTCACGTTTTCGACATTCGCCTTTTTGGCGTCACTCCTCGCGCACTCGATTTCGTCACAATCGGAATCATCTTCGGTATAAAGGTTACGAAACCTTTTGCGATTTCGACGTTTATCGCGGAAGTCGTTCGGCTCGGTCGGACGCGGATGAACTGTCGATCTTTCGAACACTTTGTAAGTCTTTTGGTTTTCGATATCTTTGGATTTGGTATGATCACAGTCGTTTAAATGCAAGTGTTCGTTGGCGTTAATATCCAACGAGTTCTCGGAGGTCTGAGCTGTTTCAGTCCTCCTTGGAATACTGCCGCCGTTGACAGCAACGGGCGGCTCAAAATTAGATGTTATCGGGAATATTCCCACTTTCGATTTTTGCTGCTGGAGCCACCGTTTGTATCTGATTATTTGTTTGACCTTCTTCAGTTCGTCTACGCTTAATTGTTCTTGTTTCAAGAATCGCTGCATCAAGACTTCATACTCTTTCACCATTTCGGTATTCACGGGTTCGATGGTCTTGGAGCGGAATTGACTGACCCATTTCGACTGGTGGTTGTTGTGGTATTGTTTTGGCGCCGAGGTACTGACGAATTTGTTTGGTGATGTAATTTTCTCTGTAGCTTCTGAATGAATCTCTTCAGGCTCTGTTGATGAAACAGGGATCGAAACGTCGTTTTCTTGAACCGAAACCTCTGACGAAATTCGTTCGAGGTTTTCAGGTTTCGAACTGGCTGTAGTTGCAGGAATTTCGTTCACAAATTTTTCATCTTTTTGCTTTTTACTATTGGTGATGTTCAGTAACAGGTTGTCTGTGAGATTGCTGCGGGTTTCTATAGCTACACTTGCGCTGTCCGCATCTTTGGGTGAAGAATCGACTTTGGAAATTTCGACCTCCAGCCTCTTGCGCTTTCTTCGATTGTACTCTTCCAAACTTAATCGTCTTTTGTTGGCGCCCCCACAATCCTCTTCGTCGTGTTTTTCAGTGTCGTGAGACGTTGAAGAAGTGATGCGGTGTTCCTGGACATGTTTACTGGAGTCGTCCTTTGGACTTCCTGTAATCGGCACAGGCTTCGGACATAGTTTGAATTCGTGATCTATAACAATTTCGTTATGTATGAGTTCAAAGTTGATTTCTTCCTTCTTCTTCGACACTTGATGTGAGAGTAAATCTTCGGATAGTTGTTTATTAAAACTTCGTCTCGGTGGTTTTATTATCGCAGACCTTTTGGGAAATGTTTGTGCTTCCAGTTTCAATGGCTGATTTGGAATTTTCTCTGAATCCGTAGACGTTTTAGGGATAATTGGCGAAATCACATTAGTAGAATCCTTCACAGAATCTAAACCTAAGATAATTGGTTGTTCCTTTGATGAAACTTTTGAAGGTGTGGAGGTGTCATGGATGATTTTGTTTTCCGATTTTACTTGGCGTTTTTGATGAGAACGAGCGTGTTTTTTATCAACGTCCTTCTTTTCGTTGGATTGAATTTTCTTTGATATTGCACCGTCGCCCCCGCTTTTCAGCTTTCTTTCTTTATTTTCTTTTAACTTATTGTGACCTTTAGTGTCAACGGATTTCTTTCTCATTGAATGCTGCTTCAAATAGGAAGTCTTTAGGGATACATTTTCTGCATAAACTTTGGGTTCTTTCGAGTAGCTGCGTTTCTCGTTTGAATTATGACATCTTTTCGCATGTTTATCGTTAGTTTCCCTTTCTTTAGTTTTCTTATGAGCTTTCTCTTCGTAACTGTCTTCATACGCTTTCTTTTCCCCTTTGGTTTTACGAACATTCCCTACACCAGTCTTATCTTTCTCTTCCTTGTTTTCTACTTTGTATTTCTTCAACACTATTTTTAAACTATTTTGGATCTGGTCATTCGGTAACGCGGTTGTATCGTCATCGTCGGTTTTGGTATCGGTAATTTTGGAAGTGATACAAAATCTGCTATTTAAATTGTCATCTATTGCATTGTCAGACAATTTTGCTTTTGAAGAATCTGTTTCGATCATATTTAGATTTAGTTCAGGATCAGTTGATTTTGAAATGTCCGCTTCCTCGAATTCTTCAACGATTCTTTCGCAGTTATTAACAGGTGTCTGAAGTTCAACATTTTCTTCAGAATTTGTAGCATCTTTATTGTCGGTTATTTTTTCTTCAGTTGAGCACTTGGTAGAATCAAGATGAGCATGGGAAGAAACTTGTTCAGAATCCGTAACATTAATTTTGTTGATGTACTGCGATGAAGTTACTTCTTCTTTCTCATTACATTCTATGTCATTAATGCCATCATTGATTCCCAGATGTGGGTCATTGGCATTTACTTCACTAACCGATATCGAGTCATCACCGGTGTTTTGGTTTATAAGACTAGTTTCAACAACTTCTTCTTGTGGTGGTAGATCTTCTTTCAAATTGGTTTCGTCATTAGGCTCTTTTCTACCGTCCATGTCTTCATTTTGACGACCGTTTTCTTCATTACCGTCAACATTATGATTATCGTCACAGTTTTCTTCAATACAACTCAAAACTTCTTCAGAATAATTTACTATTTCTTCCTGATCAGTTTCCTTAATGATTTCTTCTTCGATTTGGGTAACAGATACTTCAGTTTCTTTGACGTCATTCTTGTCATTAACCGACCCATTGTTTATGACTGCGTCGGTGAGACTTTTAACGCTGATCAATTTTTTGCCGTCTCTCTCGCTAACGTTTATTTCTATGAGATCGTCTCCAATTTGGAGTAAAACATTGCTTTCTTCTATTTTATAAGCCTTTCTATACTCACTCTCTGCCATTGTCTCATCTGAACAAGACGAATTTTGCTCAGGATTATCATTTAAACTTTGTGTATTCGTGGGTGATACTTCGGATTCCACAATTTTATCGTCATCCCCTTTGGAACTTATTTCACATTCCATGTCTACTTTTTCTTCTTCTGATTGAATATCAAGTGTGTTATTGGTTTCTTTGCTATTTTGGTGATTGTCACTTATAAGTCTAGAATTAGTATTTCCTGGTTCATTCCTACCGTCGATCCATTCTTCAAGCTGACTCAATATTTCAGCGTTCTCCAATTCCTCCAAATTATCTTTATCTACACTTTCTACGTTTTCAATCAAAGAGGCATCTTCAGATGTTGCTCTGTTTGATACGAATTTTTCCGGTTCACAATTTCGTTCTTCATTACTTTCGTTTTCATCTTTAAGAGAACTGCCAAGATGGGAATTTGTAATTTCTGATGTTGCTTCATTTTGGTCTTGTTTTGACACCGGCTCGTTAGAATTTGCTTCACTGGAAAGCACCTCCTCTGTAGCTGTATTCTTCTCGTTGTTTTCCGATACAGTTTCACGATCAGGAACGATCTCCCCAGTTGAACGAATTGTTTCCATTAACTCTGCTGCTGGTTCTTGTTCCTCAGTCTTTATTTCAGGTTGTTCGGGATGAACACTAGTAGCAATGCATTCGGTTTCTTCATCTTTTACGTGAAGAGTAGTAACTGTTTCTTCATGCGAGTTATCAACGACTTTTGTGGTGGCTTCTTCTGGAGTCACTCCCGCATTTTCGGGTTCTTCCTTTACGACCGATTCCACAAATTCAGTACTCGTTTCTTTGGCGACTAAATCATGATAAGCAGAAACTATAACGGAGTGAACTTGCTTTTTATTTGGCGAATTAGGTGAGTTTTGTTTTTCGGAATTAGTTTCTTTGGCGACTATAGACACTTCATCACTGTTTGCCTGAGTGGAGTCGTCAGAAAATGTTTTGTTGTCTGTAGTAGTTTCCGTTTTTATTTCGGTATCGATCGTTTCTTCTTTTATCGTAGTTTCGGGATTGGATTTATCAATTTCTTCCACAGTTTTGGGATTCTCAGTTTCTAACTGTTTACTTTCACCGTAGTCATTCGATTTAGTATCAACGGTACGAGAATTTTCTATATCTTGTAGTTGATCCTCCAAAACATGAGTTATACTTTCAGGAGCTGCACTGGATTCCTCGGTAATACATTCTGGGTCGTTCTGTGGCTGAGCAGCGGTAGGAGACAAAACAATGTGCTGTAAAACGTTTACGCCAGATCTGAATTTTTGAGGCGCGTCTGAATTATTGCTGTACATGCAAGCCGAATTGTTGACATTCCTCGAAGAATTTTCTTCACTGACCAGCCGCTCCGAGGTATAGTTTTCAACCAATGCTTCGGGAGTAGATTCATCATTGGAATAACTGTTATTTGAATGTGGCTTGACCAATACGACGTTTTGTTGGAGCGGCTGTGTTTCCCGAATATGGACCTGGATCACCTTGTCTACCGTTGAATCAGTCATAGATCCGAAATCACTTATCGAACGGACAGATTGCGTTTCATGGGACATTTGACCGTTGTCAGTGATGTGAAGTTGAATCACTTTGTCGTTATTTTCATGCGAACGGTTCTGGGTTGTCGGATGACCGTCGAATTCGTTTCTATTCTGAATACCTATCGCTTTCACTTGCTCACTTACGTACCTTGTGTCGCTCCCTTGAGAAATCTGACTTTTCTGATTATACTCCTGGGTTGTTGACGATTTATCATTGGCTACGTATCCGTTGTGGACCATTGCTCTCTCCGTTCCGAGAGCATCTTTGTTGATGTGATAATATCCTTTGATATTTTCCGGTAACTTTTCGAATTGTTGAAGATGCATGTATTGGGGTAAATTTTCAGACGATATTTCGGTCGTATCCAGAATGTATAAAGGCGGTTCGTTCGTCTCGTCCCTTTTTATCGGAGCTTTAATAGAAAATTTATCTTGCTCCAAATTACTAGACACCACGACATCGGGGAGACCCGACATATCTTCATCAACCCAACTCTCCAGGAACTGTTTTAAGGCGTTTGACTTCGTATTAGTACTGTCCCCGGTCATTTCAGCCGCGAGCGGACTCTGACTTATGAACGACGATTTGTAGGCGCCAACAGGAGAGTAAAAATCAGGAATTTGTTCTCTCCTGTGCTGATAATGCTGAGCATATTCCAACTGACTACACGGCGGATACATAGGTGACGAAATCTTTGGCGCCATTGGCGGATAATTCATTTGCACGGCGACGTTATCATTGAACGGCCTCCTAGGCGAACAATTACGCAAAGGTTGTTCCGAAGGAGTCATATATTTCGGCATACTCGGCTGATAAGGTACACGATAAGAATCCGGGTTTTGTTTTACGTTCATATTATAAGACTGCTGGTAACTGTAGGGGTGTTGCGGGAGGTTCCTGTTAACATGGGGAGGATACGGATGATTCGACGTCATGGGGGGTGGCGGTTGGTGATTATACATTCTCTGCATCGGAGCATAGGGCCTTACATGGTCAGCATTGTGATATAGAGGAACTTGAGCTGTCTCCCTTAGATGGGGATCGCTTATTATAGATTGAGCCATGCGCGGATTTATCTTATTAAGATGAGCCAAATAGTTATTCTGCTCGACCGTGTAGGGTCTCGAGTATGGAATGCTGTACTTTGATATATACTGTTGCAAAGCGGCCTCTTTTGGTACATAGGAATACAACTGGGGTTCTTTATGGATCGGGTGAAGCTGCGTGTCTTTAGGAATATACTGAGAAGGAATGTTGGGGTCGAGGTAAGACTCTTTGAGTTGTTCCGAAAAGGGATGTTTTAGCGATTCGTGATAAGACTGCTTCAAGTTTTCGGAATATTGAAACTTAAGGGGAGGTTCGACGAACGGCTGTTTTACACCGTCCATGTAGGATCTGTTGAGGGTTTCGGGGTACTGTTGTTTCAACGAAGCGTCTGGAGGAGGCGGATAGTGTTGCTTGAGACCGTAATGGTCTGGATAGGGTTTCATGGTAAGCTGGGGATTGTTGGCCATTTCGATGCAGTCTTTATCTTTTTGTTTTTGAACTGCTTGGGACAACTGGTCGATTTTCTGAAGAGGACAAGGCTCCACTATTTCTGAATATTTAACGGGAACCGGTGGAGTCGGTTGTTTATAAACAGGGCTGTAACAAAAAAAGAACCACTTAGCCGTTTTATTAGTATGTGCATAACATTGAACTGTGGTGTGATGAAGCGGATTGCCAAAAACACAAAAAATGCGTGAGACTCATTGGTGTTACTAACGATAATACAAGTAATTCACAATAAAACGGGGGAAAGGAAAGGAATAAAGACTAAATAATAAAAACAAAAGCCGCACATGCATATTGGAAGGGACGGAACAGGATCGCCGGATGAGGGTGATTGATGATGTCAACGATGATTCGGGTAAGCGTTTTTACCTGCAATCTTTTGGGAACGAATTAGTGTATCTGCAAACATCATTCGGAGGAAAAGATTGATAATGTGTTTGGGGCGCAACCCTAGCTACGTGAGTCTCGCCTCCTGCCGATGTTGTCGGAGCCTCAATGGCGCTCTTCTTATCACCTGAATCTTTTTTACGCCATAGTCTAAGGGAACTTGTGACGCTGTTTGACGAAGATACCTTGCGAAAGTTAAAAAAAAATCCTTCTAATACCTGTATACATAATATACTTTTGTTTATGTATTTTAGCTGTGTCCTTAACTAACATGCTTCCGAATGAATCAAAAAGTAAGTTATGGACGGCATTCCTTTATTATCACGATCAATCATGGATTCCTGTGGTGAAATCCGGAACTAGTCTAAATTAGACTGCGATATTCCATGGATGATTCCCAGTTTGCTTTGCCTTCAATTGTTCCGTGAATGATGTTTGTTGCAAATAGGAATGCTGCTTACTTTTTAATCCACTCCCGTAGATTTATAGTAAAAACGGATTAGATTAACTGTATCATATGTTTGGGTAAGTAAATGATATTTTACGAAATTCAATAACCAGTATCACAATTCTATTAATAAAACCACCCTTTATACGACTTATTTTAATTCACTTCTACATGAAGTAAAAGCATTTTTCTTAATATACTCAACACGATTTTAGTATCTAGATGTAGAAAAACACATTTTTGTTTTTGTTAAGTATATTTTTCGTTATTTTAAAGGGGGGGTTGACGTTGAAACTTACTGTTGGCTCTGGTGGGGAATACTGGGAATGGGAGGGAACAATTCCCTGTCCAAACTGTTGCCCGGCATGCTGCATGAGCCCCTAGAATTTAACATTTAATTGACACAACGGTTACATCCTGTTCTTGTCTTGATTCACACAATTTTTATGTACCAACACACTTAATAATCTTTAAAATGAATCATTTTATTTTTAATATTCATTTGAGCGATAACAAAAAAAAGTTTACTGTTTTAAATGTTTAATAAAAAAATAATTATAGGCATAACTAACTGTTTCAATTCAGACTATTTCTAACCCAATAAAAAAAATATAGTAGGTAAAGTACTAGGGATATAAATCAGAAGATAGCGCAGGGTCGTGTTGCCTTCAATAATAAGAAGTCACTTCTATGATCGCGAACGGTTAATTTAGAAATTTGAAAAAGATTGTTAAAGGTGTATGTTTGGAGCGTGGCGCAGTACGGGTGCGGCAGAAAAGAAAAAGTTAGAAGCGTTCGAAATGTGGTGTTACAGGCGAATGATGAGGATACCGTGGAAAGAGAAGGTTAGAAAGAATAGGACTCTATGGAAGTCAATAAGGAATAGGCGAGATAGGACACCTTCTAAGGCATGAAGGTCTAGTCAGAGACATATTAGTGGCAGAAACGGGAGTTAGGAGGGGTAGAGGTAGACCTAGATTAGATTATTGTTCACAAATAGTTAAGGATATGGGATGTTCTAGCTTTAGGGAAATGCGAAGATTAGCTCAGGATACGAAAGAGTGGAGGTGCGTGTCCAACCAGTTTTAGGACTGACGACCTTATGATGATGATAATGAGGGCAGATTTTTATTGACTAGCTGCGTGTTTTTTTTTTAAAGGAGTACATAGATCAGCGTTGCTAGACGTCCCAATTTTTAAATTTAAACTATATGTTCCGCAAGGGGCACGCTCAGTCCCGTTTATCGGGGATAACTCGACCGTGCGTGCAGCGTGCTGTGGAAGCGAGGGAATATGTTAAAACTAGTGTCTTTCATATTAAGTATCCCAACATCAAACTGCTTTCCTGGACGCGTTTTTTCCCAGATGAATTTAAAACAGTCGGATGGCAGAAATAAATACTCCGTAAATTTAAAGAAAGCAGAATTACTCATCCAGTTTAATCTACAGCTATCCTGTGAAGAGTTATTCATCTTTATTAAAGAGAAAAAGGGAACTTTAAAGGAAGTTAAATCTTCACAGAAACATCATGAATAAGTAATTCTTATAAATAAGTATTTTCTTATTGGAAGTTGCAATTTGTAACGGTTACTCCTGAGACTCTTATTTGAAACGCCTTATTTTTGTAATGAATAAAACTTTTTTGATTTTGATTTGTTTTTTTATTTTTATTTTTTATTCAGAAGAGAATAAGACTCAACTTTTTAATGATACGGTAAATCCCATTTAAAATATCATATTTTTATTAAAATACATTTTCTGTAGCTATTTTTGCTATCTATTGACACGCAAACGTAATTTGAACTCAAATAAAAAGATAAATATTTAAAATATACGTTTCTTTACCATGTCCCGCTTTCGACGAAAGAATCCCAGTTTTATTACTCAAAAAGTTCCAAAATCCCGACTTTTAATATGTATGACAATATTAAAAGACAATACAGTTTTTAGTGTCCGACCGAAAGTTCGGTTTCGGTAGAGTTTCGGCAAAAAAACGAGTATCGGTTTAATTTCGGTTTCGGCGGCAAACCTGCCGAAACTACGACCGAAACCGAAACCGAAACTGCGTTCGGGAGTTTTCGCGCTCTGCTCGGTCATGTTCGGTGCGTTAAATTCCATCCAAGCGAAGTAGATTAGTAAACATAGACATATAAAAGCATGAATAATCTTCAAAAGAAAAATGAGTCTAGTCTACTATACTTACTAAAATAAACATCTCACCTATTTTAAGTATTTTTAAGACGCAATTAAAGTATTTCCTTAAATGAGGGGTTGTTATATTGATTTTGATTTGATTATCAATAAGTGAAATTGTCAAAGACTGCAGAGCTATGCGATTTACAGATAAAAAAATAAAACTGACTGATTATAATAACGTTTTCTTTATTTTTCTCTCAAAACAAGATCCTTATAAGGAAGTTTCGGTTTCGGTTTCGGTCGGACACTAACAGTTTTTGAACGATATCGTACACAATATAAACATATATTCTTGTTTATCCTTTTTACTCTATTCGTTAACTGGTTCGCAAAGGTGCTAATAAGTCTGTACTAATTAATAATTATGCCTGAGTTCTCAGTCAGGTACATGCACTTTTAAAACTAATGTGGCTACACGATAGAAAAACAACGTGTCTAGATACATGTACTTTTCTCTGTTTCGGGACCATATAAACACATATTACAATAATTAAAGAACAAAACGTGAACAATACGAAAAATACATCGGTTATTCTACAGTCATTAAGGTCCGTGAAAAGCGATCACGAGGTACGTATTATTGTTACATAAGTTAGGAAAAAAAAAGACGACCGTGAACGAAAAAAATATTTATCAAAGTCAATTTTTCTATTACATCACATGCAATGTACACGGCACTAATACTTTCTGTTGTTTGTAGTAGCTAATCACGCCAATGTTTTATCGCGGTAATTACTAAATAGGTAATACAATTACAAAAAGGAAAAAAAAGTACGTAAATGCAACAACTATCAAAGGAAATCAATATGTTACACTGCAGATTATTATTAATCGCTTAGTATCTATATATCAGGCTTTCTTTAAAGTGTAATTAAGGAAAAATGTTTTTTTTTTTAAATAGAGGGAAAAATGAAGAAATAAACGTTTCATACTCTTCTTATAATTAAATACAATTAACCTTTTTTCAAAAATTAATGCATATATTTGTGTTAAATAGACAACATACTTTCTTGTAAAAATTGACTCGATTATAAAAGGACTACGGAGAGATGTAGGACACTTAAATAATTTAGAAGAACACGGAAATGTAAAAAGTATTACAGAATATGAAGCGGAGATCTAGGGCTTTTCTGCTTCCAAAATAGACTGCATAAATATTGGAGAAAACGTTATTTTCGATTAAGGATTATAAGAAAAACAAAAAGATGCGTCGATCATGTCGATTCAATTTTTAGGGGTCCAAGGTAACAGTTTTTGTTTGTTTGGAAGGTTTAACAGAGGACTCTATAGGAGAGATAAGTTGGTAGGACATCTTCTCAGCTATGAAGGTCTAGTCAGAGACATATTAGAGCCAGAAAAGTAGAGGTAGACCTAGATGAGATTACTGTTCGCAAATAGTTAAGGATGTCGGTTGTTCTAGTTTTAGGTAAATCCAAAGATTAGCTCAGGATAGAAAAGAGTGGAGGTGCGTGTCCATCCAGTCTTAGGACTGACGACCTTATGATGATGATGATGATAAGGTTTTTAAAATGCCATCTGCCAATGACAAATTGAAACGGTAAAAAAAGGGTTTATTCCTTGCAATCACAATCGGTGTATCTGTCTCCTCTCAATATAGAAGCGTTCTTTACGGCTATTTTGGGTATCATTTAATAGAAACTTTTAATCAAAAATCGCTAATTTTAACGTATTTGAACTGGAAGTAAACAATTGCAATAAAGTGCGCGGGTTTATTTATATCATACCTCACTACATTCATTCTGTTAGGTACATTCCGACCTTAAAGTTAGAGTATCTATCCAAAACAGACAGAGCATTCCATCCAAAAACAGAAGAAAAAAATATTATTAAATAGAGAACCGTGGAATCAAATGTCAATTCTAAAATCAATACTAGTTCTTATTAATGACACGAAAATTTACTTGACTGTGCATGAACTGAAAAATTGCAAAGGTCATCAGAGTATGACAATAATAATTATGTCGAAATACATGTTCCTACACGGTTGGCAAACCTAGCGAAGTATATGGTATAAGCTAAGCGGTAATAAGGACATATTTTTATTTTTTCTAACGAGGCAAAAACTGCGATATTTTTTTACCATTGTTTACGTAGCATTCCACTAGATCAACATTTACAGTGGGTTCATCTATAACACCTTGAAAAAAACACGAAATTAGAAAGTAAATAAAACATTTCATCGATTTTAATAAAACTATGGGTTGGTACCATAAAAAGCAAACATTATCGTGACCTAAATGGTTTTATCAACCTTTGGGATTACAATGAAATACAGACTGAAAAGTTATCATCAGATTTCGAAAATGAGAAAAGTGAATTCTTCATAAAAAATATGATTTAATTAATATAACTTAACTACAAACAAATGTTGTGCTATCACAAAAATATGTCATGTCATTGCTTTTGTTACTTTCTTAGATATTGGGTGGGGAATTCCCACTTTTTCTTTCTTTATGGAAGCAGTTTATCAAATTTAATACTATAGGGTTGTTCGGAAAGTCATTTCGTTTTTTTTTGTGGAAATGAAAGACAGTTTTCGTATAATAAACAAATACTTTATTAAATTATATATTGACCGTTCTGGTCCAACACCTTTTGCCATCTTTCTGCTAGTAGCATAATTCCAGGCTCATAAAATTTTTGGTCTTTGCTGGCAAAAAACTGATCGAGGAGGTTTTTGACCTCCTCATTTGAGGTGAAGGTTTTACCGTCTAAAAAAATTTGGAGTGACCGGAACAAATAATAATCCGACGGTGCCAGGTCTGGAGAATATGGTGGGTGTAGCATTGTATCCCATTCAAGCTGTAAAAGCTTTTGGCGAGTGACCAAACTTGTGTGAGGTCTCGCGTTGTCTTGGTGAAACACTACACCTTTCCTGTTGATTAGTTCTGACCTTTTCTGTTGAAGTGCATCATTCAGTTTGTCCAGCTGATGACAGTAGACTTCCGAATTAATCGTTGTGTTATCCGGTAAAAGCTCAAAAAAACGATTCCTTTAAAATCCCACCAAACAGACAGCATCACCTTTTTTTGGTGAATATCGGCTTTGGAAATTGTTTGAGCCGGTTCATCTTTTTTGCTCCATGACCTCTTGCGTTTGACGTTGTTGTATACAACCCATTTTACGTCCCCAGTGATGATGCGCTTCAAAAACGGATCATTTTCGTGACGTTTGAGAAGCGAATCGCAGACGTCAATGCGGCAACACAGATTTCTCTCTGTGAGAACATGGGGAACCCATACAACGAGCTTCGAGGATAATCTCAGACCTTTCAAGTGGTCATAAACTGTTGAATTTGATAAATTTAACCTCAATCCGATCTCACGTGTTGTTATTCGCCGGTTCACATCAACTAATGCCTTTATCGCGTCTTTATCAGCTTCAACCGGCCTTCCCGAACGTGGTGCATCTTCGACATCAAAATTGCCGGATCGAAATTTAGCGAACCAGTTCTGTCACTGGCGTACTGTCAACACACCTTCTCCATACACATCAGTCAATTTCTTTCTGGCTTGAACAGCATTTTTACCCTTTCTGTAGTAAAACAGTAAGATATGTCGAAAATGCTGCTTATCGCTCTCCATATTTAAAAGGGCACCAACCAAAAACTACTGCGTAGAATTAATTGGAATTTTTCACACACAAGCCTTGCTATATGAGCTCTCAAAGCATATAAAAATTATACGGCTTAAATGTGAAGTTGGGTGCAAAAGAATACAATTAAATCCTCTGTCGGGAAAAAACGAAATGATTTTCCGAACAACCCAATATTATTTTTCCTTTGGGGGTACAAAAAACAGAATATTGCTTCATTATTCATATTGTCAAATGCCACATTAAATTGTCGAAGTCGATCGCATTTTTCATGACAAAACTACATACGTTATTCTTACCTATTTTATGGTTTCTTTTGGGACTGGAGGGGAGCGGGTATATCAGTGTTGGACAAAATGTAATCAAAATAATGACTATGATTACAATTTGCAATCTGCAATCGTCAAGAAAGTAATCATATTCGACGATTAATGAGTATATTCATCTGTAATCGTTATCTTCATTAGTTTTTTTGATTGAGATTGATAAATTTGAAAATACAAACCATATTTATAGATCGTCTTTTGGTTATGAATGAATGTAATCAAATGACATGATTGATATAATCATGAATACTTTCAATCAGATTACAAAATTGTTTGATTACGCCAAATTCTGGGGTTCACAATTAGCTTCAGTAAAATGAAAACAAATTTGAAAGTTTGTCGTATGACCTAAGCGCGTAGGCACATAAACATCTAGGACTTAATATTTTTAACATTCATGTTAAGGCCCTCATGGCATTTACTCTTAATATTGGTCAATAATATTTTGCGTTCCTATGCAAATTTAATTTTTTATATGTATGTATGTACTTATGTTTTCATGTTCAAAACCTTGCACTACTTTAAAAAATCAAACACACATGAAAAGTACCTACAAGAGTAAGCATTTTGAATTCGACAATCAAATATTGAATTGGTCAACAGCAAAAATAATAATTGTGGATCGATTCGTAAATTAAAAGTCCTCATTAAACCTATTCGGCAAAAAAACCGCAAAAAACAAAACACTTTACTTTAACAAACACAAAATTAACTGGATACCTCTTTATCTTACCGCATATTATCAAAATTTGCTTTTGACGAACATACATATATATGAATGTACATCGAATAAAAAAGAATGCCTGGGTACATAAAAAAAATACCGAAATATCTAGAATAGCTATGAGAAAATTTAGTAGGTCCTTAATTCATTTTTTTTCCTTTAGATACTTTTTTGAATTTGTATAATATCGAACAATGTCGCCAAAATGTGACTTTGTTTGTTTATTTATTTGTCGACTTCTCAGGCCTTAACCACTAAACCGATCAACATGAAATTACGTAGAAACATTGTCAGGGTTACAAAAAAGAACATAGGGTACCTTTTATCCAGAAAATAAAAGCAGTTCCCGAGGGATAGAATAATTAGTTTTATGTGGTCGTCGACGAATAAAAGAAGAAACATTTTTGGTATAATTAGTTAATATTATTTATTTACCCCGATTTTATACATATACTTACGACTTTTGTTTTAATTAGAAAAACAACCAAATTTTTTATTTTCATATATAAAGCTTGTACGTACGTATTTATATCTTATCAAAATCGATCTTTATTAGCGATAATGTGACAAAGCCAGCCAGATTTTAGAATTATCTTCTACATAAAAATAAATCTGTACCTACCCCTTTAAGAACTCCGTCTTGGATTTGATTACGAATATGTACAATATGGATTATTTTCGTTGAATATCTAGTTATAAATCCGTTGTAAAATTTAATTATTATTATTTTCACATAAATATCCATTTCAGTTTATAACATTTTGTTGTTAGAATCACGTTCTACATTTACAGACAATTCTGCCACATCCGCGAAAATTTCAGTTTATTGTAATGAAATTTAGGCATGCACTAAAGTATTAGAACACAATCGACGTAAGTAGACAACTGATTACAGATTACGGCATACAACACAGTTCTTACCATTGTAGCTAATAACTGAAACACGAATTTAATATTTTACAATTAGCTACCCCCCAGAAGAAAAACAAACAATAATAAACACAAATATATGCATCTATTATATAATATTAAACACTTATTTTCTCTTTCCTATTTAAATAAAACGAGAGAGAAATATACATAAAGATTAAAACAATAACGCCATAAATCTACCAACGGCTATTGTTATAATTTAAATAAATTAATGTTATCATCTGTTTAGAAAAAAAAAAACGCACATACATATATGTACATACTACCTGTATGCTTTATGAACCACAAAATATATATTTCTTTATAAAAATATTAATTCAGTATTTGGATTTTGAATGTAACATTCTAGAGTATTTATAATGCCATTGTTTTTGCTCGGTACGCTTTTAGATAAGATAACACAGCTCGATTTGCCTTGCTGGCCGAGATAATACGAGCAGGTACAGTTAGTTAGCTAATGACAGAAGCTACTTATATAGCGCATCAAACGAAAACAAAAAAAAAAAACAATAATCACAGGTAGCCGATTATACATTGTTTCAAACGTCATTTGTTAGTTCGTCAACAATACGTAAAAAAAGACACACTTACAAATGGAACGGTTTAGCAGAGGATATACAGAGTGTTATAGCGTGAAATGCCGATGCAACATTAGCAATTGTTTTAAAAAAATTCGTACAATTATGTATCATGCAATATCAATTTAATTGATTCCAACTGAACTTTTATCGAAACTACCTCAAATTATTGAATTTAAAATAGATATTTATACATTTTCGCGGTCTACAACTAAAAATTAATATAAAATATAACAATCTATTGCATCTAGACACAAAATCGCGTTTTGCTTACGGTCCAGTGATAAGTATTAGTAGACCAAATGAATTCTGCAAGTCTTGGGGTCGGGCGCGTTGCGTTATTCTTAATATTTACAGTAGGTACTTGTCATTGAACAGGGCCGCATGAGGCAGTTCTGTGCACTATTTTGGAAACCCGCATCGTTCCCTGCTACAGCCAACTAATGGCGAATTTAGACGAATTATTGAGCTGCAGTCAACACAGCTCATTCGTGTGCAGAGCATCTCCTTTTTAAGACGTAATAGAATTATCGTAGAGTAAAAATCACCGAGAAAAACTATAATGAGACATTGGGAACGTCTGGCTTGAAACAATACCCTAAGAATTAATTGTTATCGAGCAAGGACAAATATTTTTGATCACCCTGTAGATGATATTACGTGTAGATTCAGATTGTATAACGTTCATGACAATTCTAAATTATATGAAGGACATAGGTATAGTGCAAGAATGCCACAAATATCTAATACAAACCTGTATTAAAATTAAAATAAAAAAATAAATGGATAGATAACAATAGGCAATAGCAATAAATTATGATGTGTACCGAACACGTAACCTAGCAACCAATTATTCGCAATACATAATGTATACGCATGTAGGTACCCAGTATGTACTAGGCATATAATTATTATTTATCATATTATAGGCACAATAACAAAATACAATAATACTCATTTTTACACGATTTATGCGTGCATTTACTGGCATACATACACTTGAGTGATAAGTACCAATGATAAGAATTTTATGTACGTAATAATATGTATTATTGTTTGAAGCCAGTATGTACTGTGAGTAAAAGAAATATCTACGCAATGAAATAAACAAAAACAAATTTATTATTGTTTGGTTGTTGTTACATTAACGAAAAGCGGTTTTCGCTTTAAAATTTTTCAGTATATTGGATCGTTTTAAAAGAAAGAAGCCCCACAATCGCAATACATAACTACATTACGACACAACACATCCAGCACATAAATGTGTACGAAATACGTTTGTGTGTAGTTCAATTTATTCATTTGTAAATTAGGTGCATAACAATGTTGTTATCGTATCGACACAATAAAGTGATATCATTAAGCCTTTGCAGACCTTAGAAAAAATATTTTAGTGTTTTGAAGCCAAAGCATCGCAACAGTTACTATTTTGATTAAGGTGAGGTACTTTAAACGACGAAAAAAAGGTAGATAACAATAGTAATTGGTGTTTGTTTAAAAAAAAAATTGTGTGATCAATACGACGATGGTACATGAATATGTGTGGGGGGCCCGAGCCGCCACTCGAAACAGGTTCTTGTATTCGTCATTAGTTCCGCAATTACATTACGACTAATTACAAACGAAACAACAAGAAATACGACTAGTAATTACGTTATTAATTAATTTACTTACCTGTTCTGTTTTAACACTCATAACATCACTTCTGCCATTTTGAAATTGTCAAATATCAAAACGCATGTTGTTTACATTTGACGTTTAAATGACTTGCGCGCTACAGCTGATGTTCAGCTCCGTACTAAGGCAAAATGACGATTGTGGAAGTCGAAGGCGTGCACGAAAAACGAAGTGTTTTGCTCGTGTTTGTCTTCGAGCAACGGATCTTGTACAAATATGTTACCAAACAATTATTACCATGGCGATGGTCATCGTCTCTTGTTTGCTTTTGTATTTTATTTACCGTTCTTCACGCGGAAGGCGAGTCAAAATGCAACGGTCAGGCACTGTACATTTCAAATTAATGGGTTTACCTTAAAAATTTTTCAAACTCATTCGTTGTGTAAGTAGGTACAAGTTTCGAAAAAGTTGCTCATACGTTAGCGTTTGCTTCTCTTTGCTTTCGTTTATAAATGAAGCAAAAAAAGTTGGAGCAAAAGCAAACCAGAGTTTAATTATTCAGTAGTAGTAAGTGTGTTTTAATGGTAGAGATATTGGAAATCTATGGCGGTAATCGGCATGTGTGAGTGTGGAAACGTTTGTTAAAAAAATAAGCCCTAAATATAACAATATACAGAGTGAACGAAATGTTTATTTGTAATGTTGTTTTTTTCCCGAATGTACGAATGAATGTTATAAATGAATGTTATAAATATTGAGATACAATTCTAAATTTTATATAAAAGTCAAATTATATAAAGTTATAATAATTTTTGTATGACACTGTACATGCAAACGGCGTCTGGAAACTGATGTACAGTGATTTACAAAATTTATGAACTTTCTACAAAAATACATAGTGCTGATCTTAAAATTTACGTATTTCTTGTTTATTAACTACGTATATGGAGTAAAAGATGAAAATTGAAAAAAAAAAATACACTGATTCGATTAATTACCAAAAATTAGTGGGAAATTGAGTTTAAATTATTACGTAATTCCCTTTCTCCTTCCATGAAATGGAATCGTAACGCACGACTAAGCCCCTCCCTCCACCCCTAAACCGAAATATCGGGAGACAATTTTGATTTTTACACTATAACTAGCTATCCAGGGTATTTATACGAGACTGTACATTCAAATGATGAATGAAAACCGATGTATAGTTACAGGCAAAATTGTGGAGTTATGGAAGAATAAAAATAATGCTACAATTTAGTTTATATATAAATATGTGTACATAAAGTATTTTAAAACAATATTAAACATTTATAATAACTCGTCATTATTTGCTTCTTCTTCATCAGGTTCTTCATTATTTTCTTCGTTGTTACAGCTTTTATCGCCTGATTCATTTTCGTTATCACTTTCGTGTTTATTTATTATATCAGCGTTCTTTTTCCCTGTGAATTCTGCTACATATTCTGAAATTTAGTTTCGTTGTAATAAACGAATTGAGCAACTAAAATAAGTTTTTATAACGACCTTCAATAAACTCGCATTTAGTTTTGTTTCTTTCTTTTGCTTCTACAATAGAATTTTTGAATGATTCGTAATTTTCACTAAGATAATGCGCCTTGGAGAGCAAGAGCCAAGCTTTCAGTAAATTTTCGTTTAATTTCAATGCAGTTTCGCAGTTTACAATTGCTTCGTCGTATAATTTTAA